TATTATTATTATTATTATTATTATTATTATTATTATTATTATATCATAAGCTCTTATCCTAAGAAATGAACACAGAGCTTGGACTCCACAGCGTGGTGGTATAAGTATAATATACGAACATTTAGGTGCTGTAGAAAATAAACTGTTCTGCGGTAAAGTTAACAGTGAGGTTTGTATTTATCTTCACAGTGTCTTCCCACGTATGCCTTCGTACTCTATCGTCTTATCGTTGGGCTATACTGCTTAGCATGGTTGATATTCAGCGGTTACAACTACAACTCCAAGTGGTTACTGTACATCAGTAACTGGATCTTCGTTTTCATTGCTGCGCACTTCATATTCGGTTCAATATTATCCATGAGCTACGGCCTCTCAGATGAGGCACAATACTATGACACATCAACCAGATGGGGTTCGGAACCATTCATCGAAGGTTTTTCCGGTTACGATGAAGACAAAGAGAGCACAGGCAAGGAAGTTTGGGTAGACGAAAAAATCGAAGACAAACTAGGTTTATGTCACAAGCTACTGTGGATAATCTTCACGATTGCCAGTGTGGGTGCGTTACAGATTACACTCATTTACTGGAGTATCTTTTACGAAGACCAAGAAATCAATGGCGTCAACATCACGTTTCTAATCTTCAATTCTGTTTTTATCACCATCGAGTTGCTGCTCAGTAACCTACCCGTCGTTCTCCTGCATTTCTTTTATTCACACATCGTTCAATCGATCTACATTCTGTTCACGGTGCTTTACTGGGCGTTCGGAGGCACCGATGCGAAAGGTCATCCTTATATTTACAAGGCTCTTGATTACGAAAATGAGCCGGATTGGGCAGTTATTTTCGCGTTCTTGTACGTCGTTATCTTTCAGATTTTAGCCCACATTTATTGCTTTTCTCTCTTTCATTTGAGAAAATGGCTTGTTCGCAAATTTTACTTGAAATTGTAAGACAGCAAAAATACAACACGCGCTCTCATTAGTTACAACAAATACGAACCACGCCCGATGCCGTGTTTGTTCTGCACGACACGAGTGAAAAACGTCTGCTATGCTCTAACTCCGTATGCAAATTAGTCAAAATGTGTAAAAATGTGTCAATTTGACTTTTAATTAAACATGCCTGATAAATTTGACTTCACAAAATTGCAAAACTTAGTGTCCATGCTTGAAACTTAAGGCTAATTCTTTCATATTGTGTTTGTTAATACAGTAGTTGGTCTGACAAGAGTATACTCTCGAAATGTTTTGTATACTCGGAGAAAACAAACATTTATTTTCTCACTCACTGGACTCTTCTAAACTCTTAAAAAATGCGCTGAAATGCACGCATGCGCAAACGTTTTTCTCTAGTTGTCGTTCTACACATGCAAACCATATGCGCGCACTTTTCATCTTACAACACGTTATTGCACATTTTGTAGAATGTTTTTTGGTGTATCTATTTCTGTGAGTATTTCCCTGACAACCAATGCGTTTTCTCTTTCGACAGCAGCAACAGGGAATACAGGTTTATTATAAAAGCTTTTGCGTCACTCACGATTAGGTTATACGGAGGTAATGGGATCTGATCGCTAGCTAACCACAGTCTTGCTTTTTATCGATGTAAACACGATATTAGAATTAATCAATTATTCGTGCTCAATTTTCAAGGTTCGCTAAGTTAACTGATTTTTTAATTAGATGTTAACCACAGAATATGGAATCGGATGACGGGGCCAATAGTAATCACCCCGTCTGGGAGTTATTTTGCTTTTATACTTCATACATCTTACATTTTAAAATATTTCTAATATTATAATTTAATTAAGGTAATAGTCATCTTTATCATTCGATTGTACCGCTGTCTTTGATGACCGCAGACATTTGTACACTTTTAGCCTCATTTATAGGTTAGCTATTCTTATATACCATTAAAATATTGTGGAATTTCAACACATTGGTATTATACAACTTACACATTCTTTGCATTACAGTTGACTTTTGCAAATGATTTGCTCCTAAACAAGGCCAAAAATGAACAAATAAGCCTGTAGTCAAGCATCCCAGCGGTATGTGACTGAAGAGTCTTATTAGCGTATGCATATGCACAACTTTTCTTTAAGGGGGATATAATTATAAAAACATTAAGGGGTATCCATAAAATAAATGGAGAATTAACATTTAATAAAGTCACTGGTTTTTTACGAAAGACTTGGTCAGTTTGTGTTGTGTTGGCGTAGTTTTGAATCAACGTTGCTACTATATTGAAGAAAAACCTGTCTCGAGTTGACCTTGCAGTGCATTATGTTTTAGGAATGTTTTAGGGGACGTTTCCAAGATGGCATCGATTTCGTCCCCTATATGCACAGCCCCACAATGCACTGCAATGCATACTCAACCCAGTTTTTTTTCTCGACCTTGGAATGGATTGGATCCTTGGAAGGATTGGACTGGACGTAATTGAACTTGATTTTGGAGGGCAATAAAAATATTCTGGAATTTTAAGCCTTTGAAAGGGTATGGATAATTGCAGTAAATAGCAAAAACATGTTAAGCTTTTATAATTTGATTTATGCTTCTAAATTCTGAATTTTGAGGGATTTTTTATTTTGGAAAATCCGGAACCGGGCATGGCTGGAATGGACTGGACTTCGGTTAATTGGATCATCCCGGATCGCAAACTTCGTTTTATGCCGAATTTGCAGCTTTTGACCTATGATTTCTATTTTGATATTCATAACTAACAATTTCACGCTGAAATTTTGCAAAAAAATAATTAAAAAGTTGATTTTTCCATTATTATATCGTAAAAACATTATCCGAAGTCATGTTCAATCCATCGTTGCAGGATTCTGGATTTTCCAAATACATATTATATATTGGATATTGCACGCAAAATTTTCTTCTTGTCTAGCCATCCACTAACAGTCAAATACTTTAGTACTTTTTGAGACTTTTTAATACCATAGGCACTTATATTGGATGATAGATTCACGATATAATTATGCAAGTAGCAATAGGCCTTTCGCAATAGATTTACACGTGATTGTTACTGGATGGCAAAAAAATTTGGACTTCCTTTATTTAAAGATTTTTTGCTGGATTACTTATGTCGTTTCCAAAACCTTTTCAAAAATACTTTTTTTTCCCTTAATAAGATACTTTCGATTTCAAGATATGAAGCAATTTAAAGTTTGTTTTCCATCCAGCAGAGCCTTTCCCAAGGGACCTTTGGCTGAAATGATTCGTTATCAAAGTCATATATCAGCAAGTGACTGTTTATTGCAAAAGTCCTATTGACAAGGATACAATGTTAGCCATTCAGAAGTTGAGGAAAAAACTGGTTCGGGTTTGCATCGGAGTGCATTGTGGGACCGTCTTAAGGAACAAAATAGACGGCATTTTGAAAATTTGTCCCTTAAAACAGTCCCAAAATGCAATGCAATGTCAACTCGACCCAGGTKTTTCCTCAACCTCGGAATGGTTAATACTGAAGACCACCAGTATGCCGTATGATTCATYATTATAAACATTATCATAACAAACAAACAAAATTTTAACAAACCTGTCTTTTTGGCTGTCCTTCGTACGTCCATTCAGACACGTTCTGATCGGTTCCGCCAGACATGAGGTCAAGACACTCACAAATTCCCATCTTTTCTCGCCATGTACTATTATCTTCCAAAATCTGTATAAAATCAGAGAAAAGCTAAATCAAAGGGCGTGGACATATGACGCGACCGCTCCTTGAGAATATCGCACCGTGTGTCTATCATGATATGCAATTATCAGTCTGCAATTATTCGTTTTACTTTCTGCGACTCGCCGTGGATGTCGCATGCATTGCGGTCGCATGCGACATACGTTTCGATGCGAATTTTCCTGTCCAAAGTAAAATCGCATCGCTCTTGAGTACGCGGCTCAAAATCTGGGACGCTTACCATTCGAACCAAACCATCCGGTTGGAAATTCGTTTGCTATTGGTAAGAAAATAGCGGGACACTTTGACTTTCGACAAATAGCACACACGTCTACCGGAAGAACCGAAAAAAAACGGGAAAGGTRGATTACCTCATCCGGAACCGAGTTTTCCGGAACTTTCCAACCGGAATTTCTGGTTTTTCCGGGTAAATGGAAAGCGCCCCTGATCTAGTCATTCCAAAATCGAAGAGCTCAAGACAGAAACGAATGGGGAGTGATGGTTAGGCATCTACTCCACGCGCGCGGACTAGGAAACGCTTCTTTCGATGGACTGTAGCGTAGACCGTATCAAGTGAACAGAAATTATAGGAATATAGAGAGAAAAAACTGACTAGAGAAACAAAGAGGATAAAAGCTCTTGTCATTACAGGGAGTAAACCTCTCCCTGACAGCATTCTAAACCAGAAAAGCACAGCTCGACCGTTTTTTAAACAAACGACCTTTCACAAGAGAAGCCTAAGAAAAATCAGTAAGAAGTCAGTTCAAATAAATTTAAGCCCAGTTCTCTTTTTGTTGGTCACATTTCAGATCACAGAAATATTGAAACGCAAAAAGTCACTATGAATGCATCCTTTTTGCATTTCAGTTTGTATCAATGGAAACAACTAAGCGCGTTTCACATTGCGCACACTTTACAACGTGTCTGTCTGTCTGCTCGTCTGGATGTTATTTTGGTCGACAATTTTTAAATTATATTTTATGACGTAAAAGCTGCTGACGTCACCTTTGTTAATATCTACATAAATAATAGCACAGGTAGCCCAAGCTTGGTTTCTGTGGTGTCCTGTTATAAGGAAATGTATGG